TTCTAATCAGGCTCCACCCCAAGCAGTGAATGGGGTACAATTCCCACCTGGTAGCTAATGGGATTAGTATGGGCTCAGCTCTGGGCATTGGCCTGGGGTCCAAGTGTCCCTTCCACTGCTAGAGTTGGAGATGTGGGGCATGGGATCCCACTTTTCCCTCCAAGATAAGCAAGGCCTCAAGAATGGGGGTGGCCTTCCCGCCTTTATTGCATGACCTCAGCGGCCAAGCCTACAGAAGTCCAGCCGTTGGAAGGGCAGGAAGCCACAATGCAGGACTCTGTGGTCACCTCTAGCTGGACTTCCTCGGCTGGTTCTCACGTTGGCCTCATCCACCAAATGAGCGTCTGGCGGTAGGACTACAGTGGCCAGGTCAGGCGCTGCCGTAGAACAGTGTGAGCAAAAGGCGCTCCCAGAGTAGTGACTGCTACACTACTCTCAAGAGGACACTGCCTCCACCAGGTCCCAGCCAGATCTCCCGCGGCCGGCACTACAAGCAAAAGCCAGGCCAGCCAGGGAGATCCAAGATCAGATTGCCAGGCCGTAGGGCCTGCCAGCACCCCGGGTCGGACTGCATGACCCGAGGAATGGAAAAGACAGGCAAACTTGCACACGCATCAACATGGCTTTGCCAGGCGCACACAAGGGGATGATCCAGATGGCCTGTATACCGGAAGGCCACCCCCAATTCCTGTCTCGGGGGTGCCCAGCGCCCCACGCTCTACGCAGCTCACTACTCAAAAGAAAACCCTGGTCCACGTCGCTGCACCCAGGCGGGGCACACAGCAGGGGTGGGGGGGTGGGGGGGCCAGGTCCTTGTGCCCCGACAGCGGGGATCTCCGCCTGCCCCTCCCCCGCAGGAGGCTTCACAAAGGCCCTTTGTCCCGCCGAGCCCCTGCGACTCCAGCTCCTGAAAAGTTCCAGGAGAAAAATCAAAGAGAGAAGCAAAATCGGTGAGAGCAGACGGGTGGGCGGGCGGGCGGTGGTGGGGGTGGGGGGCGAGGTGTCTCTTCCAAGAAACCAAAGACCAGAGGAGCTTCAGGAGTTCCCCGGGAAATCGTAAAAGTTCTAAACTTCAGTTTGAAGGAGAAGAGGTGGACTTTTTTCCCTTAACATCAGGCACAGAAAACAGCCGGGCAATTTGGACCCGTCTTCCCCCACCCAGGCTGGGCAAGTCTGCGGCCCCGCGTCACACTTCCCATCGCGCCCGGCTCCCGGCTCGGCAAACTGCTTACTCCCTGCCCGGCGCCCGCCCAGTGCAGTCTCCGCCGCAGCCCAAGAGTCCCTCTTGGGAGATGGTGGAGGCTGCAGGGCCTTCTTGGACAACTCCTCCACCTTTCCTTGTTGGACCCCTGGTATCCCCTCCACTGCCCAGGCTCCGTGCGGATCCACTCCCTGCACCACCTCTTTCCCCTAAGCTCAGAAAGGCAGCAGCCAGGCTTGGCGTTCCTGCTGCGCGGCGAGCCCTTGGGCGCAGGGTCACTGCCCTCCCACTCCTGGAAGAGAGACCCGCAGAAGCCAACAGGAAACTGGGGTCCCAGAGCTGGGTTCACCTACGCCCACCCCCCCGCATCTCCCAGCCGCGGCTCCGCACTGGTGGTGGAGTCGCGGGCAGAACTCTGGGCCCACGGGCGTCGGGAAAGGCGTTCGTTTGCCAAGAAAAAAGATCCGAGTTCGGGGAGCGGGTGTCTCATGGGGCGTGGGGGCTGACTTGTTCTTTTCTCGCCCAGATTTCGCAAACTCCAGCCCAGGCTAGTGCCACAGGAGCCTGGGACTGGCATGGCCCCTGGTGGCTATGATTTCGGCAGACGCTTGGATCTCAAGCGGGTCCGGCGCGCTGGAGACCAGACGAGCACCTCTTGGTCGGGGCCTCGGAACTGGCCTTGCCCCAGGCCCAGGGATTCCCCCGTACTGAGAGCTGAGCCCGCCAGCACCAATGGGCCAGCCGAGAGGTGCCCAACCCAGGCCATGATCTTCCCAGGCCTCCCTCCCCAGGATCCCAGGAAGTCAGGAAGAGTGGACAAGGCGCGGGACACTTACCCGGGTGCGGGTGGAGGTTGAGGCCGGCCATGTATTTCCCGGGCGGCAACGGGCCGGGCAAGCCCGAGGCGGGCAAGCGTCCGGCAGTAGCCGCACCCACGCGGTGGCTGTCCATGCCCAAGCCGGACAGTAGCGGCGGCGGGGGGCCGTGCACGGACCGCTGGGGCCCGAAGTCTCGGCCATCCATCCTCCGCGGGAGTGCCGCGGCCAGCCCCCCACCTGGCCTGCCGGCCTTGCTCAGTGGGATCTAAAAGTTCGGCCTCGATGTAGTCCCAGAGTCCTCGGGTGGCGGGGGCTCCGCGGTGTGCATGGCGGCGGCCAGCGGGGCTTGCGCTCGGAAGCGGGCCGGTGGCCCGAGGCGCACAGACGACCGGTGGTGGGGCCCCTTTGGGTGGCCAGGAAGAGTTTCGAGAGACCGGGCACACGGCGTCTTGGCAGGGAGAGGAGACGGGCCACGGAAGACAAGGGGGGGAGAAAAAGAAAAAAAAAAAAGTTTCAGAAAGTCACCTCGCCCTTCGGGGTCTAGGGCTGCTGATCTGGTGGCCAAAAATAAAATCGGGAGTAGCCCCTTTTCCACGAAAAGTAAAACTCCATGCTCCGACTCCCGGCGGCTTCAGGCTCCGTGATCTGGCTCAGAAAAGTGACCGGTGGAGCACTGTGCCCTAGACCCGACTCTACCACGGCAGCCGCTGGGTCCTCCCGAAACTGGGGAAGGCCACTAGGCCAGCCGCACCCGGACAGCATAAATACAAACCTCTTAAGTGTTTTATTCCCGAGCGTCACATGCTTCGAGGTTTTAAACTGTGAAACCTTTTCATGAGCGGCTCGAAATGTTTCCCTGAACACTAAGTCACTATCTAATCCGGAAAGTTTAATATTTAACCTTTTGGGGCCCTCGCCTCCCTTTTCTGAGTTTGATTTTCCTGAGCTCGCCCTGTGAGCCACCAAAGGAGTGTTTGGTTTGGAGCTTTTCGTTGTTGTTGTTGTTTCGGGAGGGAGGGTGCGAAGCGGGTTTATTATTTCTAAGGAGGCCCGCTGCCCCCTCCTGTTGCCCCTGTCCAGTCACCGTGAGTCTCAGAGCCTGAGTCCGAGGACCCGAGACGTGGCATTCTCGCCTGAGGACTGGAAAGAATCCTTCAAAACAAGCTTTGGTTTCATTTTCCAACGCCCCAGCCTGGGAATCCTGTGGCCCGAGGACTTGACCTGGAGCGGGGGATTTGGGGGCGTCAGAGGGGAAAGAAGGGGATCAAGGATCTCAATCCTACCCTAGCTTTCTCCTACCCCAAAAAAATAATCTACAAAGAAAACCTTCGCAGCGCGGGCCGGCTGGGGGGCGCCTCCCCCAGCGTTGGGTAAATCCCCCTGTAGTTCCAGTTTCAAGCTGTTTGTTTAAAAGATTTGTCGTTTGCCGATTCCCGTGGGGGCGGGAGGGGATCTTGGAGCCCACCCTTCCCTCGCTGTCCGTCAGCCCGCCTGCCGCAGCTCTGATTCCCGATTCCGGGAGGCCGGGGCTCTCTGGAGCCGCGGATCGCGCCAAAGCCGCCCGCTCTTGGGTACCAGCCCCGCGCCCCAACTCCGCGCCCAGCCTCTCAAGCTGCAGACCCCCGGCCTCCTCCTCCACTTTGTTAAGGGTGGCTATTTTAACGTGGTTTGGGTTTCAAACACCCCCTCGCTCCCTTGCATCAAGCTCTTGTTACCAGATCCGCGTTTGCTTAGGAAAAATCTAAGATCGTCACATCCGAGGATTCAAGTCTCAAGAAGGCGATGAGCTTCCAATGATTTTTTAAAATAATGTTTTTAGGGAAGCTTTATTTTAAAAGCCAGCGCTTCGGAGCATGCCCAGGCGCCCCAGCTTGAGGGAGTCGGGGTGAAGCTCCCCGGAACACCCTGGCAATGGTAAAGAAGCTGGCGTGGACAACCGCAGGCTCCGCTGCGTTTTCCCTACTTCTCTCCCCCTCTTAAATGCAGTTAAAATGGCTGAATTCCGGCTTTTAATTAAAAACAGCCTATAATCGAAAACGTCTCGGCGTCCCCGGCTCCCCCGCCTCTGCCGCCTGCCGGGCACCGACGCCCCTCGGCGGTGTGGTGCAGGCTGTATCGGACTGGGGGCTCGGGTGGGCGCCCAAGGAACAGCAGTCAGCCCTCACCTTCCCAGGGCCCCCTTTGCCCTCTGCCCCTAGCCCCCGATTTCGTCCCCATCAGCCGGACAGCTTCGGGAACCCTCGCACAACCCAAAGGGCAGGCGGGATGGGGTGGTGGGGTGCGAACTGCAAAGTTTGGAGACCCTCGCGCCCGGCCGGGGCAGCCAGAGGACCAGCGGCGTACCTGGCGCGGCGGGGCTCCGAGCTCCGGGCTCCAGCGACAGCGACTCCGGTAGCAGCCCCGACTCTCGGCGCAGCTAGGCGCCGGTGCTGCCCGCCATCCCGCGGCCGCCGCTCCCCTCCGCCACCCGCAGCCGCCTCACACTTTTTGCCCGCCTTTCCTTTTTTTGGTAGAAAACCGCTCCCCGGGCCGAGCGCTCGGCGCGCCAACTCCTCCGCCCTCCCGCGGCCCGGCTCCCGCAGCACCCGGAAAAGCCAGCTTTCCTCCCGCCGAGCTCCCCGCTTTTTAATAAAATCCAGGTAGCGCCGGTTTAAAGAATCCCAAATCTCCATATACAGCCCGGGATTGGAAAAGGTACATTACACAACCCCCCTTTCAAGTTCCTCTCGCTGGATCTAAAAAAAAAAAAAAAAAAAAAACTGCCGGGGGGGGGGGGGGGGGGGGGGGGGGGGGGGGGGGCCCCCCCCCAGGCAAGAAACCCCCATTGTTCCCCGGCCCCCCCCCCCCCCCCCAGGGCCAGCCCCCGGCCGCCGAGCATTGGCCGCGCGCGCCGCCCATCACGCGCATGTAAACACCTTGGCCCTCAGCCATTCCTATAAAACCAATTACGGACCTCAGGGCTCCAGCAGTTTCCAGGCTCCCCTCGGCGGGGCTGAATGATCAAAACTGGTGGTGAGAATTTTTCCGGGCCGTTTCTAGGCAGCCCTCCCCCTCCACCAGCTCGGGCCCCCCCTTCCTCCTTCTCCTCCCTTTTCCTCCCCCCTCCTCCAGCGTCTGGGCTGAGTGATCAAAATAGAGGAAGATGGTTGTCGCCGCAATCCAGGGCTTTGCAAGGCGCGGTTTAATGGGCCGGCTGTCAGCTTCCTGCTCGCAGGAGGAGGTGACAAGCCGAGCGAGCCGGGAAGGGCCTGGGGCCCGGCGGACTGCACCCAGTGCCCACGCCCCGGCCCCCCACCTCCCCTGGGTGCGCCTCTAGAACGCGCGGTGGAGACGCCAAAACAGACAAGGGCTGCTTTTTCTTTTTTCTTTCTTTTTTTTTTTTTTTCCTTTTCCTTCCTTTTAAAACAAAGCAGCGATTCATTCCCTCTCCCCCAGGAGCGCAGTCGGGTGGGATGGGCAGGCGAGAAGGCCGTTTTCCTTGTCCCGGCCTGCGGGTCCCTCCCTGAAAAGCAGTGTCAGATGGTTACTGATTAATATTTTGGAGAGGCCGCGGCGGCGGGCAGCGGGTGAGTCTAATCTCCTAAAGGGGGTTCCTATAGAAACGCGCGCGGGCCAGGGCGCGCCCCCTTCTTGGCCCCGGCCGGGGCTGCGGTGCTTCTGCAACGCGCGCCCCTCCCCGAAGCCCCTCTTGGCGTGGGCGGTCCCCTCCCCCTTCCCCCCCAAAAAAAATCAGAGCAGAAAAAAGGATTAGATCGGCTGAGCGCAAGCTGAATCCCTCTCGATTCTGACATTTCAGCCTATTAGCATTTCTCCACGGGGCCTTCTGAAACCTATTAAAGTGTAATATTAAAAACCTCTTGGCTGGGGGCCTCTCTCGCCTTCCATCCGCCGCGCCCCCTCCAGGGAGGGCGAGACCGGGAAAAAAAAAAAAATCTGTTGAGCTCAGAGGAAGCAGCAGCCAAGCCCAAAAGTGCTTGGCTGGCCACGGCGGCCAGAGGGGGAGGGGAGCCCCAATCCCCCAGACTTTGTACTTTATTTTGCGCTTTCAGCAAAATCCTTTCTGGGTTGAGTAGCCGGGAGCTGCCCGCGGCAAACCTACCTGGCTAGAGGCGCAGGGAATGCGGACCCTGCCGGAGGGACAGTCCTAGGGGCCCCGCACCCTCTCCGCAGCCCCGGCAGGCACCCGAGTCCAGCTAGGCATTACGTACCCTCGAAAGGAAGCTTGAAGGGGCAGAAATCCTGCTGATCCTGCCTCGGAGAGCAACCGTGGTGACAGGATTTTAATTAAAACAAGAGAAGCCCGCTCTTTCGCCCCGCGCTGCGGACTCAGCGTTTTCGCATTGCTCCTATTTTTTTTAATCCATTTTTAAGGCAACTTTTCTGGAGGGGGGGGAAATGAGCTAGTTAGCGCCCGTTCGTTCTATTTTCTTTTCTCCACTTTTAGAAAAAAGGGGGAAGGGTTCGAGAGCGAACTGGGGGTGTCTAATTTAATTCCAGGATAAATTTGAGGAAAAAAGTTCGGCCTCAGGAGGGCAGTTTCAAGTTGCCCTTCTTGGATCCTCCTGCGCTGGTTTCTAGGCTGCCCTCTTTTGGAAGCTGGAGCTCCGCGGGGGAGGAGGGAGGAGTGAAGAGAGAAAGGAACGAAAATAGCCGGAGCCAAGGGGAACGAGCTGCGGTGTCCGCGCTTGGAGCTGGGCGTGCGGGTCTCAGTGGCAACCGGGGCGGCGGGAGATGCCCGGTGCAGCCCCAGGACGGCCAGAAGCAAAGACCGAAAGGAGAGGGGGGTTAGAGAAAGGAGGTATTGTGTCTGTGTGCCTTAGGGGAGGGGGGCGACTGCAGAAATAAAATAAATGCAGTTGAGCTGCGCGGGACTGCTGGAAGCCAGAGCAAGGGAAGGGGCCGTGTGTGGGGGCGCCCAGCGCCCTTGAGTCTTATCCTGAGGCCTTTGTGGGTTCCCAGTAAGCCCTCCCACGCCCGAGTCCCCAGCGCTTCCCCCGCCCCCATCGCCCTCCAATATTAGGAGTGCAGGCCCTGATTCCCCCACCCTCTTAGCCCGCCCGGGATCTGGAATAGTTTTATTTTAATATAGCTCAAGAAAAAAATATGTATCTTGCGAGAGTTGGGGTGGGGAATAATACAAAAGACTTGCGGGGTGGAAAAAAACAAAGGCCTATTTTTATAAATGTTTAATGTTTTCACCCCTGGATGCTCCAAGACGCCGTAATTGTGACGGCGGGGTATGTGTGCCATAAATCATTTAGTTGCTAATAAAAATTCTGCCTGTTTGCCCTGGATTTGCCAATGGCGTTTGCATTTTTCAAGTGTGTGCGCCTCGTCGGCTTGGCGAAGCGAGCTGGCATTTCATTAGGGCCCGATTCAGGACAGAAGAGGCCCCCTCCCCGCTGGAATGTGTGCGCCCCAGCCCCTTGAGCTGCCCTCCCCATGCACTCTTTCACCCTCGCGAGCTGCCACGCGGCCCTCTAGCCACCAGGCGCCGGGCTTGGGGTCGCGACCGCTCCGGGATCCTGGCCGCGGGGCGGGGCACACAGGACTGATCCTGCCCGCGCTGCTCCTCCGGGGCTGCCTCGCTTGTGGACGCGGGCAGGCCCGCTGGAACCAACCGTTGCGTGCCCTGTTCTTTGCCCCCTCTTCGGCCCTGCGCCCTGGTGCCCCGGAGCCGCTGAGTAAACAGCTGCCGGGAGCCATCTTGGGGCGTGGGACCGATCCCAAGAGGAGTAGAGGCTGCAGCCTCGGCCCCTTCGTAGACCCGCTCCATCACAGGGGAGCCTCGGGTGCAACCCTAGCTGGGCCTCTGGGTCTAGGAAAATACACCCCCGCCGCCCTGGTAGGCCACATTTAAAGTGAAATGCGGGTGCGCGCGGTGCGGGTGTCCACTGCCCAGGCCACAAGTCCAGGCGCCATCTTCCACGCCCCACCCCCTCTAGCTTGTTTACCCGCGGGATCAGTGGCCAAAAACTGTGTTGACGCAGTGGGTGTGTGTGTGTTTTGTACTGACTGGGCGGAAAATCGGCCGGGATGAGGGGACCTCCACGCAGCCTCAAACCACCATTCCGGGAGAACCCACCTAGGCGAGCCTGGCTCAGCGCGGTTATCCTCGGCCCGGGCTGGCCGTCCAGACCTTTTGTATATTCCCAGGTCGCTTCCCAACTAACAAAACTCTCCCCCTTTGTTGTAAAGCCAAAGGACAAGCCAACCTTGAGCCCGCTGTCTCCCCTGCGGTGCCTTTGTAGGCAACAAGCCCCGCACCGGGGCCAGCCGCCAGCAGGTCCGACTCGTGGGAGCCCTCGCCTCCCAATTCTGCCCAATTCAAGGTTGAACCTGGCTCTTCTAGCACCTTGGTGTCGCAGCATGGACACGTTCTCTCTACACCCTCTGAAAAAAGCCCGGATCCTTTCCAAAACGCGGACACCCTAGCTGCCCCACCCTTGGCCCCGAACCGCCTTTCCCGAGGACTAGGGAAGGTTTGAGCCCATCCAGACTCCACAGAGAAAGGGGCCCCGAGGCTTTCTGGTTTCGGCTGCCGGCTCGGGAGGCCGGGGCAGGGTGTTCTCGGCCAGAGTTTCCACAGGTCCTAGATTCGGCAACTGGGAAGCTCTCAGCCAGGGCGCCACTAAAACCCGGAGAGGCCGCACTGGGGACAGCCATTCTCGCTGTCTGTAGCTGAGTCTGGCCCAGCAGCGGCTCGGCGCCTGGCCGAGGGACGCCCGGACCCACCAGGAAGACCAGGGACGCGGCGCTAGAGCCCTGCTGCAGCCAAGACCCGGGCGCACGGCGGGCAAAGCCGGGGCTGTTGCGCCAAGCCTGGCCGCAGCGGATTCTGGCTCTTCTCGGCCCCGCCTCCGTCCCTGGCCTCTTCCTATGGCCCTGGTCGGGTCTTCCACTCCACTGTCTGGCTCAGAAAGGACTGAGACGCGCTTGGTGCGCCGCAGGCCGGCTGCTGCCATAAATCTCCGCGCCGGCCCTGCTTCCTGCTGTTTATGCGCGGGTATTCCGGGCTGGCCTCGCATCCCGCGCCAAGCCAAGCGCCTTGCTCTCCTGGTCACGGCCTGGAGGCCCCGACTCAACGTAGGGAATCATGCCAGAATTTCCCCATTCGCCAGAGAGGGAACGGCCTCCCTCCCACTCAGTGCCACCACCATCCATCACCAGAGTTTCGGACCCCAAGGTGGCCCGAGCTTCACCGATCATCTTTGGGGTGGGGACCCCCCCTCCCGGCCTGACACTTCCTCCTATGAAGGTTCGGTTACCCTCCTATGAAGGATGGGTGCACGGACCGCCTGCAGTCGTTGAGGAGCAAGAACAGGGCCAAGGACTGAGCGATTTCTCAGCTCAGGCGACCACCCACCTCCTCGGACCCTGCTTAGTCCTGCACCCCGGGATCCCTCTGCGGGCGCTAGAGGGGCCTGGGGGCAGCGGGGAGCTTGAGATGAGCCGGATGACTGCAGGCGCGGTGTCGGAGACCTATCGGGTTCCCAACCCCGCGCCATGCCACCCCCTGCCGAGGATACCCCTTTTCAGCCTTGGTGCAAATAGACCTTGGAGAAAGCAGGAATCGGTCGTTTGCGCTGGTGGCAGCCTGGTGGGGGCGACGGTCTTCCTATCCTAGTCAGGGGGGCAGCCCCAGAGAGTACATTTCCAACAATAACGTTTAATGTCGTCAGAGTTTTATCTTTTTTTTTTTTTTTTCTTGCTAGAGGGGCAAGGAACAGGCCTTTCCACGGGTGCCCGACATCAACCGAGCAATCCGGTCGCGCGACAGAGCCCGACCACCACCGAAGAGGCTTTGGGGGCTTTTGGTGGGGACAATCGTGGAGAGAAAAGCATTCATCCCCGCCTTGGTGCCCCCCCCCCCAAAGTCTCACGGTGACAGTGACATGACCCCAAAAAGCGATGGCAAAGGGGGAGGCGGTTGGAAACCTGGCTCTGAGGTTGCCCTCACCCAAGGAGCTCCGGCTTCTTCCTAGAATTTCTAGAAGCACTTTCGGAGGGACTGAAGGCTTCCGGCCCGACGCAGAGGAATTTGAGCCTCGCCCCGGCGGCAGCCTGGGAGCGGAGAGGCTGCAGAGCCACATTCCGCCCGAGCCGCCCCTGCTAGGCCCCAGGAAGCGCCGCGGAAAACAAAGCGCTGCGGTTTCAGCCCAAGGTTAAAGTCCACCGCGAGCGTTCCCCCCACCCCCGGAATCTGAGAGCGATAGCGTTTCTCCAAATAAACCGCCAATAAATCAGCTCCTGGGGCCGCCTGCTGAAGAGCTCGGGTGACCTTGGGGAATGTTTCCTGCCAGACCCGTCCGAGGACAGGCTTGGGGGAGGGGGCCAGAGTCAGCCCTACCCCCACCCCAGAGACACAAGAAGCGGGTGGCCAAGGGCGTTTATTGTGGTATGTGTGCCCACAGGGGATGGGGACGATCTGTGGTGGGGGTGGGGCACTGTGACTATTTGGGGGCTGTGTGCGGGTTGTGGGGCTTTGGAAAAGGAGGATCGGCTACTCTGGGAAGGATGTGTCCGGCGCCTGAGCTTCGCTGCACTGTACTAGGCCCTGGGGAACCAACCCCCACCGACATGCCGGGCCTCTGTCTTAGGGGGCCTCGGTCTTTGTCTGGGTGTGACTGGGTGTGTTCCGCAGCGAGTTTGTGTGGGGTGTGACTAATGGGATTTATGTATGTCAGTGCCAGGGTGACTAATGGAGGGCTTGGCAGCACGTGTGTTTGGGGAGGGACACTGCACCTAGGTGGGGAGTCCGTGTCCCAGGAGGGGGCTGCCTAGTCTCTCAGAAGTTCCACTCCCCTCCCCCACCCCTGGTCCCTGCTTTGTTTGGGCTTCTGCACCTCCCCAGCAGGCCCGTACATGCTAAGGGTTCTGGAGCAAATTCCACTGCCAACCCGGCCCCCAGAGGCCCTCCTCGCCTCCCACCTCCCTAACCCACGTGGTGCCTCCGGATCGGGCTGCCAGCCCTCCCCCCTGTCTTCCTGTCTCTGAAAGTTCCCTGGGATGTCCTGGGCATCTCTCCCCTGGACCTGTGATTTGGTTACTGTCCTATCCATTTCTGCTTGAGGGGCAGAAAGGAAAAGGGACAATCACACAGCTGGAAAGTGGCAGCAAGCATCATCTACCAAGCCAGGCAGAGTGTCTGAAAGGTGAAACCCCAGCATCTCCCCACTTTTGTGTGTGTGTGTGTGTGTGTGTGTGCGCGCGCGCGCGTGCGTGTGCGTATGCTGGGCATGGATCCCCTAGCTCATATGTGTTAAAGCTGAGCTCTCTACCGGTCAGCTACACTCCCAGCCCCTCAGCACACCTAACAAGCTGACCACCTGCCTTGCCACCCCCACCTGTATCCTTTCAGTCCTCTCTCTTGGCTACTGTGGAATTTCTCCTACCCCTGGTGGGGGGAGGGGAGGCAACGGAGGTCCGAGATTGGTGGGAGTCCCTGGTTTGGCCTGGGGCAAGTAGAGATTGGGTGAGGTCTGGCTAACCCAAGGCAGCATTCCTCTGGAGTTCAGGAGGACCACGGCCATCCTGTTAGGCAAGTGCTCTACCACTGAACTATAGCCCCCGCCTTTTTAAGTTTTATCTTGCGACAGGGTCCTACCTAAGTTGCCCAGACCGACCTCAAACTTGGGATCCTCCTGCTTTAGCCTCCTAAGTAACTGGGATTACTGGGTTCCCTCGGGGCCTTCTGATTTTGCACAAGGTGTCCCTCAGCGGCTCTCCCTACTGCTTGCACACATTCCGGGTCCGAGTGTGTCTTAGAAGTGGGGGAACCTAAGGCCACCCAGCCAGAGTGGCAGCAATTAGGCCTGCCATGGCTCTGCCCAGCTCCCTTCTGCAGGCTGGTGCCCCCTGGCCAGTGGGAACATGTCAGAGGAGGGAATGGCAGGGTCTGACCCTTCCCAGGTTGCTGGGCCAATGGGCTCCCAGATATATTCTCTCTCTCTCTCTCTCTCTCTCTCTCTCTCTCTCTCTCTCTCACACACACACACACACACGTGTGCGTGTGCGAGCATTCACATACATTCACTCTCTTCACCTCCCTCCCTATTTTTTTTTCCTTTTATCCTTCTTTGGCATTTTCTTTCAAGCAGAAAATAAAAACATTTCCCATGGCTACGGCTTTGAAAGCTTGCCTTCCTGCCTGCCTCCATTCTGTGCCCACCCCCACCCACATCAATGCATTTCTACAATCAGCAGAAAGTCAAAAACAAACCCCAAAGATCAGACATTGACAGCCCCTTCCCAGGGTCCTTGCACTGTCTCTTCTTGTCTTGCTCTCTTGTCC